TAACAAATTTATTAGAGCATAAGCTTATGCTCTAATAAATTTGTTAGTCTCTAAGGTGCCACAAGTACTCCTGTTCTTCTTTTTTACATTTATTAGAAAAGCTTAGTTTTGGACTGCTAGAAAATTATGGAAGTCGGGGGGCTACACTGGAGTAACTGAAAGCAGAATTTGGCCCACTGATCTTTCAACAAAGGTTTTGCCTTATGTATTTGCGTGTTTATCCACTCAGGACCTGAATTCATGAGACGCTGATCACTTCCTGCATGATAATCAGAATTCTCAGCTCTCACTGAAGTCACTAAGCCAAAATCTTTAAGGTGCTGATCACCACTAGGGAGGTGCTGAGTGTTCTCAATTCTCAGCTAGGTCCCTGATCCTTCTGGGCACCGAACACCTACCAAGAGAGGGGTCTGCTCACATGGAACAACTTGCATTATTGGGGCCATACTGTCTTCTCCATATAGGAGCCCAACTCTTACTGAAGTCAAAAGGAGTTGTGGTTGCTTAGCTCCTATCAACATTTGGGCCGCAACTCCACAGGAGCTGAGGCACAAAACACCTCCCATAAGGTGTACCACAAAAATAGTCTTTTAAAATGTTAATCATGCTTTTTTTGCCCTATGATATCAGTTTAATTGTAATTCAAGATGGTCAGAATTCTCCCAATCATTAAAAAACAGGTAGCGACAACCCACACATGTATGTTTTCAGCAGTTGTCAAAGTATCCTAGTTGCAGATATTTTGCTTTAATTTGATGTTTCATTTATCGAGAACAGTCTGTTTTCTTTAACAAATGTTGCTACTATTTTCATACCCAATCTTCTGAGATGACTTGTGAAACGCATCCCTGTATCAAATGTCTTTCTGGGTTATTCACAGAGCTACTGCTAAAAGACTTGACATTATTCAATATTATTTATAAAATGATACTTTTTTAGGTGGGAGGAGGAGAAGGCTTATCTCATCCTATTGAAATGCAAACTGTACTATGCCATTCATCTGAAACCAGCAGGGGGAAAAAAATAAAAGCTAAAGCAAAGGTCTAACAAAAATAACCGTTGGCAAAAAAAATTGCCAAGCTAGTTTTGCAGTTTTTACAAGATGACCCTAATATTCACAATATGAATGTATTCATGGGTTTTACATAATGACTTTTATCAGGAAACTGGATTCTGCTTCTTAAATCTAATTGCCAAGTGAAGAGTAACAGAAGAGAAGAAGCAGATTACCTTATCAAATTTGCAGCTCTTGAATATACAGTGCTATAATATAGTGTCTACCCACGTAATTTTTCTACTTTAGCATCAAAGAAGTAAAACATTATTTTACTACTTCATTTGCTCAAACTTTAGATAAAGACATTTGAAGTTTGAAAGGAAACATTTATATGCATTTCCTCTCTGCACACAAACAATTTATTACATACCATATCCTCTACACATGGGCCCAATCCTGATTCCTTCATGAACCATATAGGTCAGATTCTGATCTTAGTTATACCGCTAAAAATCCAGACTAATTCTATTAAAGACAGTTATGTTACTCCAGATTCACACTACTGTAAGAGATAAGAATATGTCTCCTATACACTGAGGTCCTGAGTCTCCACTACTTTGCACATTTAATGGTCATTTACAGCTGTACAAGTGAGTGCAAACTAGATGTAACATTTTAATAAGATTGTTAAATGCTCTCTCAATAGTGGTAGTATTTTACATTCATTTTTTCACTTACTTTGTAAGAATGTAAATGACAAACACCGTTCAAAGCAGTGGAGCTACACGTCCTAGGTTTGTGTAAAACTTACTAGGCCAAATTCTCTCATTCTCAGTAAAGCTAATTCAGTGATTAGATTTGCCCCAGGGTAAGTGGGGGTAATGTGTGACCTAGTAGGTTCAGCAAAATGTTTCATTGGTTTCAGTTTGCTTGAATTTGTACCTCTGAGTTTTGCTCTCATTTTTAATTTAAACATGCACCCACTCAAATCAAAATTCAGCTGAAGCTGCTGAATTTCAGAGGGTTCAGATTTAAACCATACACTTATCTGTCCCTGGTACCTATGGTTTTCAGCAAACTCAGACCAGGTTTTCATAGCTCATTGTTAGTCCACCAATACTATAGTTATGTGGCCAGATCCTAGCTCCATTCAGTCTGCTTTGACTTGCTCTGGCTGTACAAAGCAGGAGGAAAGCAGGCTTCTTAACTTGCTGAATCCGTTCAGTGGACAGGGTGTGGGTGGAGCACCACTGTAAACCCTGGCTGCTGTATTGGTCCCTGGAAGCCTGTCATAATTTAGAACAGCCTGTATGCACCTCTAATTTGGGTTAGAGGCTAAACTAACCCTTGACAAGTCCCCGGCTTGGGAAGTGATTGGATGCTATACAGTCACTTTTGTCCCAGCCCTGTGCCAAGCACAGTTCAGTGCATCCAAAGATTAGAGCAATAGAATAGGAAGCACATTCATTATAAATCCCTATTTTCAGGCTCTGAAGACTCCTTTTTTAAACGTCTGAAATGCCTCATCCTTGTTCTTAAATCAAGGTGATTGGGATTTTTTGTATTTGGGTTTTTTTAGTGGGGACTGGCTGAAGGGGAAAGGACACTATTTAGTAAAATTGCTGTTGGATGCATTTGAGTTATCTGAGCTTGAAAAAAACATGTTTTTTCATCAATTTAGACATTTCTGAGATTTGGTTGAGCCCAGATAACTCACTAAATGGCGTATTTTTTATTTTTCACTCTTGCCAGGACTTTGTATCTAATTCTCCAAACCTGGCATATGCACAGCCTCTTTGAAGTTAATAGTGTTTCCACCCACATAAAAAGTTTGCAAGGTTTGTGGCTGTAGGACTGTATTCTTGCTTCAAATGTGTGTGCATTTCTTATCATGAACGCCAATCCTGC